CTTGGATTTGTTTTTTTTCTCCAGTATACTACGGGAAGGAAAGGAAGGAAACTGTTTTGATGGTAGTTCGGTATCAGACTTGGTTCTGACTTGGATTTGTTTTTTCTCCAGTATACTACGGGAAGGAAAGGAAGGAAACTGTTTTGATGGTAGTTTGGTATCAGACTTTGTTCAGACTTGGATTTGTTTTTTCTCCAGTATACTACGGGAAGGAAAGGAAGGAAACTGTTTTGATGGTAGTTTGGTATCAGAATTGGTTCTGACTTGGATTTGTTTTTTCTCCAGTACACCACGGGAAGGAAAGGAAGGAAACTGTTTTGATGGTAGTTTGGTATCAGACTTGGTTCTGACTTGGATTTGTTTTTTCTCCAGTACACCACGGGAAGGAAAGGAAGGAAACTGTTTTGGTTTGACTTTCGTTTTCCTGTTTTTGACTTTCCACAAACATGGTACAGGTAGGAGAGATAAAGGTTTTTGAGGGTATTTTGATTTAACAGACAGAGTGACAAAGCATATCAGTGATATTCCAACAACAACTATCGCTCCTACCATTCATCTTTCAGTAGTTCTTTGGTTTCCAGGGCTATCTCGCTTTCTGTCAGAAAAGGAAACTTTTAACAACAAGAATTAGTGAACAAAATAAGAGAATACGATCAGTTGGTCGGGATATGATACGTGCCTTAGTGTGGCCCAAACGGAAGTCGTTGGCCTCGAGTTGGATACTCTCTAGAACTTTCTCCGTTGCATTTTTTGCGTCCACGAATGCCCCTTTGGGTACTGCGTTTGGAGCCAAGATAGTGTACCTGGAAGAGGTTTGGGGTTAAAGGTCACATCGGTAATTTAAACTTTTGTAGACACCCATTTAACTGTCAAGATTTGTGGTATGAATGTCTTCCAACTTTTGTAGACACCCATTTAACTGTCAAGATTTGTGGTATGAATGTCTTCCAACATTTGTAGACACCCATTTAACTGTCAAGATTTGTGGTATTAATTGAAGAATTGTTATTCTTTTTTATAAAGTAT